GAGCCAGCGCTGCAGAGGAGGTCCAGAGCCTGGGTGCTTTGCGGCGCGCGGGAGCAAGGCTTTGCACCCCCGGCTGCGGGCAAGGGCTGCCGACACCCTCCGAAGAGCAGCGGCCACACGGTTCCCCCCCCAGGTGCTGAGGTCGCTCAAAAAGACATACCAAAGCATGAAGAGGAAGCCGGTCACCGTGGACCTCGACCCAAAGGCTGTGACCTGCAACGAGCTGTTCGGGGTCATCCACCCGTCCACGCGGGAGTGGAAGGATGGTGAGGCACCAACGCTTGCGTGCAGCCGCTTAACCGGGCGGGAACTGGCACAAACCGTCCTTCAGCAGCGGCTGGCGCGGGGGCAGATACCTCCCTAAAACGCGTCTCTGTAAGCACTTTGTGACGTGGTGGTGGAATGGGAAGACCTTTCCTTGGGGCTTTGTACTGGAGCGTGAGGGAGGAGGAGCGCGTTTTGGGAAGCACCCGGTCCTGCGGTTCCCCCCGCCAAACGTGCCGTGCGTGGAGAGGCCAAACCCACGTGTCTCCCTGTGGGGCAGGTCTGTTTTCTTCAGCGATGCGTGACCTGGCCAACATCACACATAAGGGGCCCAAGTGGATCATCCTCGATGGAGATATTGACCCCATGTGGATCGAGTCCCTGAACACGGTCATGGATGACAATAAGGTCGGTGCCATCACGCCCCGGAGCTTTGCTCGCTCGTTAACTCGGGGTAATCAGCTTGTGCTCATGCCTGGGCCCAGGATCAGGGCACCTCCCCACGACGGGCCACTTCCCCCAGGTTCTCACCTTGGCCAGCAACGAGCGCATCCCCCTCAACCCCACCATGCGGCTCCTTTTTGAGATCAGCCACCTGCGGACCGCCACCCCGGCGACTGTGTCCCGAGCGGGAATCCTCTACATCAACCCCACGGACCTGGGCTGGAACCCGTGAGCCCGGGGATGGGAACCTCCCTGACAGGATGGGATGGAATGGGATGGAATGGGATGGGACGGGATGGGCGCTGCCCCCCCCGTGCTCGCCTGCAGCGTTGCCCATCCCTTCCGCAGCGTTGTCACCAGCTGGATCGAGGCAAGGACGGTGCAGTCCGAGAAGGCCAATTTGATGATCCTCTTTGACAAGTACCTGCCGGTGTGCCTGGAGAAGCTCAAGTCTGGGTTCAAGAAGATCACACCGGTCCCTGATATCACGGTGACCCAGACGGTGCTGTACCTGCTGGAGTGCCTCCTGACGCCGCAGACCGCCCCACCGGACTCCCCCCGGGAGCTCTACGAGCTCTACTTCGTCTTCGCCTGTGCCTGGGCCTTCGGCGGGGCCCTGTTCCAGGACCAGGTACGTCTGCGGGACTCAGCACCCCCTGCCCGGCTGCATCCCGGCTGCTTCCCTTGGGAAACCCCAACGCAGCAGCACCGGCCGTGTTCTGAGCCTTCCTCGCCTTGGTTCCTCCCAGCTCGTGGATTACCGCCTGGAGTTCAGCAAGTGGTGGGTCAACGAGTTTAAAACCGTCAAGTTTCCTTCTCAGGGGACGATTTTTGACTACTACATCGATCCGGAAACGAAGAAATTCATGCCCTGGACTGAGAAAGTGCCGAAATTCAAGCTGGATCCCGAAGTCCCCTTACAGGTGTTTCCTGCAAGCTCTCCCTGTCCGTGCGGGTGATTTTTGATTTCTCCATGGGCTTCCCCCCGGCACGGCTGGCCCAGAGCCCGTGCCCGGAGCAGCGCCGGGAGTCGGGCTGGCGCTGCCGTGCGGCTGCAAAGGCAAAACCCGTGTCTGGCCCGGTCGTGCCCGGCCCCGCGGGACCCCCAGCCAGGGCTGCCCGTGGCACCGCTGCTGCTCGGGAAATAATCACCGCTATTGCTTGAATGCACAAAGGTGCTTTAAAACTTTATTGGCCTGTCCTTTGAAATGCTGTCCTTGGCGGGGGGGGTCAGATATGTCAGGGAGAGGGAGCGCTGCCGCGGCCGAGTTTGGCTGGCTCCTCGGCTGAGCAGACATAGGGGCAGTTTCGGGAGCTGCGCCGCGCTGTTCTGTTTCAATCACTCGTTCTTCTGACAGCTCCTATTTTGGGTCAGAAAGCCTTTAGAATAACCGAGCACCTGAGGCCTTTTGCTTTAGAGAGGGCCTGGGTTTGTGCGGAGAGAGAGCCTCTTCCGTCGGACCAGCTGGCATCGCCAGGAACGCCAGGCTCCCGGCGCGCCGCCCGCCGCCCTAACGGGCAATCCTGCCTCCGCCTGCACACGTCAGCTCCGGTAGCGAGCGGCGAGCTCCGGGGGCTGACGGCGCTGTTTCCCCAGGCCTCCATGGTGCACACAACGGAGACCATTCGCGTGCGCTACTTCATGGACCTGCTGATGGAGAAGCAGCGGCCGGTGATGCTCGTGGGGAATGCAGGGACGGGAAAATCAGTCCTGATGCGGGACAAGCTCGAAGCGCTCAGCGCAGACGAATACCTCGTGCAGTTTGTGCCTTTTAACTTCTACGGGGAGGAACTACGGCCCGCCCGGGACCAAGAGGCTTATCTACTTCATCGATGACATGAACATGCCGGAGGTGGACAAGTACGGCACCGTGGCACCGCACACGCTCATCCGGCAGCACATGGACCATGGGCACTGGTAGGTGCTCAGCTGGCGGCCCCCACCATGGGGGCTGGATGACCCTCTGCCCGGCAGTCC